TTTTTATAGATGACTCAGAACAGAAGTTGATTTTAGTACTCAATGATTTTTTTGTTTTATGTGGGTAGTTTGTTTTGTTCTTTGAACATTGCCTGGCTTTTAGAAGTCTTGGGTCTGAAGATTTGAGGTCTGGAATTCAAAAGAAGTAGAATGGCAAAGACCTTTATGTATTTGCAACTTTCACTCTGCCTACACAAAGTTTTAACATGCAGTTTATAGCTTGTATAAATACCCTTCTGACACCTTCATACATACATTTTATTAAATTATGAATATAGTATTTGTAACTATTTTGTAACAGTAGGTCCTGCCAATTATGTTATGAAACCTAGTTATTTATTTAGAAAAAACTAGGGTGTCTTCTTTTGTCTGATTATGTATACAGACAACATTTGAAATCAGTAGCTGTAATCCAGGTGCCTTTCCAAGGGAAAATTCTTTAATTACCTGATGAATTTTTACTCCCTTTACACAGTAAGGAGGAAGCTGATCTTGAAAAACCTCTGAAAGTTATCCTGTAGTGGGCTGGCCCACTTAGTGTGAATGTTTGTAGTCTAACAGTTTAATTATGGGAACAGGGTCTTTTCTGGTTACACAGTGAAACGCTAGCACTATTTTCCCAAGTGTTTTGCTGTCATTACACTTGTGTGTGAGAAGTTGTCCCAAAGAACTACAGATATTTTATTAGCTGTAGCCTCATTACTGCTGTCTGTGTCCAAAGCAGTGCTTTCCCCTAACTCATACTGAAACAGCACATTTAGATTTGCATGCCTGCTTCACTGCCAAGATGTCATACTCCTCAAGCGGAAATTCTGGTCAGAGTAACATGAAGTTGAGTGAATTTTACATATGCCAAGCCAGTTATGATTAACCATTTAACACAATCTTAAAAAGGCTGTCTAGCTAGGAAATTGTGTCATTGTTGGAACATAATTTGTATAAAATGAATGATTAGTATCTTTTTGTACAGTTTTTCTCAGTGTCAAAAGCAACATCCCCTGTGGTACCCTATATGCTGGGAAAGACAATTTTAATGTATAAAATATGTTAAACTTTCTACTGAGGATACCCTTCAGAGTTAAGGCGATGCCACTCAGAGTAGAAACTGGTGACACCAGGGAGACAAGGTTTCTGAGAACAGGTTGGGTCCATGGGTTGGGTCCACTGCAGTTTGTGCCATCACAGTCCAAACCAGTGACCTTTCCAACAGCAATGTCTGTGATCCACCAAGCATTGTCAACTTCATACCAGTTCTCCTAGATCACAGTCACCAGTATAGGTCAGAGGCTGAAGTGGCCAACATACATCTGGAGATGCTGGGGAAAAAATGCTGTCGTTAAAAATATTCAGAATGGGCTTGATTTAAAGAAGGAACTACTTCTCTATCCTGTACAGCCAACATCTTTCCATTTTGCAAGATGCATAAAGATTCTTACCTATAGTTTTATGTTGTGTTCTGTGACAAGAATGAGTGTTTGTGAGTGGTCGTGATCATCAGTGATATCCCACGCCATGCTGTCATACCATTTGGTGTCCAAGTCTCTCTAACGGCGTCACTACAGCAATCTGTATGAGAACTTTCGCTGCCTTTCTGAAAGCAGCTGCACAAAATCTGCGGAAAAATAGTCTGTTACATACCCATCTAGACAGCCACACTATGGCAGCTCATCATCCTTTAAATCTCTGTGGAAAAGAACTGCTTACACAGTAGATGAAAATGTGACACTACTCAAGTGTGGGAGAAGAGATACCCAGAGCAGCAAACACACTCAGGGTTTGCTAAGCTCTGACAGTCAAGAATGGTGGGCAAGAGTCCTGGATACCCCTCAATCAAAGCAGGAAAGCCACATACTTCTCTGCAAGATGTTACACCAGTGTTAACCAAAAGTGAATGCTACGTGCTATGATGCATACCATCAATGCCCAAATACTCCCCATCTCCAAAGTATGGATAACATAAGCTCATCGAAAAAGTCTCTGAGAACCAAATTCCTAAAGCAATCTAAGTTCAGATCAGGACAAAAAGCATGTTTCAACTAGGCAGTTGTAGTGATGACTCACATCAAAGATTGCTTCCAACACAGTTTCAAAACAGCGACAGGCTATGTGGCACACTTTGGTGGAAGAGGCAGCTTTTAATAGTGTCAAAAATAGTGCACTGTAAATTAATACTGTGTTTACTGATGGGTACACACACCAAGTGCAGACATGCAGTGATGTGCATTAGCAACTCTTGCAATGGGATAGTGGGGTCGTTCAGAGCTTGGCATCACTGCTTTTTAATGTTTGTATCAGCAATATTCTGCTAATTCTTACAAAAAGATCATGCAAAGGGTCAAGGGCTGCTGTCCATTCTGCAGACTGTGACTCAGTCCAGAAAGCTTGTCTCCTCCTTCTACGTGAAGAACCACCCTGCTCAGAAGCCTTTGAATATTGACTTCTACAGTATCAAACTTAAATACTGCGACATTTTGAAATACGTTGAAAGGTCCCAAGCTTTACATACTATGTATGTCTGCTATCAAGATGAAGGGTAGAAGCATCTTACTTCAGAATACTTGGAGAGAAAATATTCTTGAGCCACGATGAAATAAAAAAGGAACCTCTGTGATAAGTGGAACTCTCAACTCCTTGGGTCGTTAGACCGTTACTGGGAATAAGAGAAAAGGAGTGTGGCCAAGAATCAAGAACTATTGACAGGAGCCATTCCTACATGCATTTTGGATGAGAGTTTCTCTCTTAGCATGACTGATACCTCCCCTCCTCTGCAACAGCATTCTCAGACCCAAATTTCAAGATGCAAATATAAGAATTGACAGGTCAATTTGTTATCAACTGTTCTTTAACACAGTTCCAGCCCAACTCAGCCTGTTTGATGTTGAGTAAAGGAGAATTTGAGGTCTGAATATGTAGTGTCAAGAGGGGTTGAAACTTCTAAAAACTCCCTCTGTTTGTAGTTGTGGAAGGTTGAAATTATCCATTTATTTTGACCAAGGTAGGTAGTGGGGTAACTTAAAGGGTACTTGTTTACAGCAGTAAAACAAATTTGGAGCTGATACAGCTGATACCGTTATCAGCTAACTCATTATTCAGGTTTTCCCCCTACCCTGATGCCTGTTATCATGACAGCAGAAGAAGAGATTGCTTTAACACGATTTGTTCTCAGCAAAATCACATTGGCTGTTACTTACGTTTTTCTTAACTTTCAGAACTCTTGATTATGAATTGTTTTATTATTTGGTCTGTTATTGCCCCAGGAATTGAAGCTAAGCTGACCAGTTCTTAATTCCTTAGCCTTTTTCCTAGCCTTTCAAAGACACATGCTGTGTTTCCCTTTTCTAGCCTGCCAGAACTTTCTACATCTTTCCCAAGTTTTGAGACTATCAGTTAGTTCTCTCAGTATCACAGATGATTTTTACCTGGCCAGGACAATTTGAAAACATCATACTTACATAACCCTTCTCTTATCTAGACCAATTTTGTACACCCTTTTCTTTGCTGTTGGTTTTACTAACATCTGATCACAGTTAAAACTTTTAGGGAGGACTGAAACTAAACAGATATCAAACACTTTCTGTTTCCTTGTGCTATCAGCTGGTAGATTGGAAGAGTAGAGAAGCAAAGTTTTCCCTTTGCCTTTCTGTTACTTCATTTTCTTCTTATCCCTCATGTCCTTTGCAGTTCCGTTTTATTTCATGCCATTGAACTTTTTGACTCTTGGGCATACAGGATGGTTGGGCAGCATCAAAAAGAGTATGAGTGATCAGGAAAGAGTTGGATTAATCTTAATGGAGGCATTGGGGAAAGACTAGTGGAGAACAGAAGTGGACTTCCTTTTCCATCCAATTCTGTCTCCATGATGGAGAAGAACACCTCCACTGGCTTGTGGATACACATACATTAGGGTTCAGTTTTGACTATGGAATCATCACATGCAGATGTGAAGAAAACAAACCGACAATAAGAGAAGCGAGCAGCAAATTAGTATTGCTCACACCTGCTTGGGAGCTTTCTGAGTTGAATACTGTGTGTATACAACTGTTAGATGGTGAATAGGCTTGTAAGTCAACTAAAACTGATGGAAAGGCTTAGGTAGGGATGTAATTATATGCAAGCTGGCACATTTTCAGAATTGCCTACTTACTTATGTGTGCAAAATCTGTGTCCCAAATCTAGTTACATTTTCTCAAATATGTGGTGGAGTTTGGAACATATGCATACCATCAAATATATAATCTTGTACGTATAGCGAAGGAATCCCTTTTGCTGTTACAGGTTGGGTTGTGCATTTGGAGAGTTTGTTCCATAAAGTTAGTGTGGATGCTAGTACCCTTTAAAAGAAGCTAATGGTAAATTCTCCTTATGGGCTGTGATTATCTGAAGCTGCTTTTCATGTCCAAATAAATGTATTAGCTTAAAATGTAGTGTTTTAATGGAATTTGATATATGTCATGTAGATACACATGAAGTATAATCTTTTTAAATGAAAATGCTTGGCTGAAGTTGGGCTTTTTTGCATAATGCTGTGTTATATTAAATTGTGAATTTTTAGTGCATCAGGATGAACGAAATCTCTCTGCATTGAAATTTAGGCCCTGTAGAGGGGTTTGGCAAATTGTTTTGTAATGCAGTTCACAATCAGAAACCACCAGTCCCAGGAGAACTACACTCTAATTGTAAACAGAGTGTTAATAAAATTAAAATTTGAAAAGAGACATTTGATGTTAAATTTGAAAAGTTTGGAGTATTGTGTAGTTCTCGAACCTTGATATAGTAGCTTGAAACTGCACTTCATAAATCAAATATAATGTAACTTTTCCAACATTTTTTAAAATGAATTCTTCCTAAATCAATTTTCTGCAGTGGTTAGCAGTAACTTTCCTGTAAAAAACTGTTGTGTAACGTTATGCTGAAGACAGTTCAAAATTAAATGCTACTTTTTTAATGTTATTCTAAAGTGAATTTGACATGCTTCTTTTTTGTCTTGCTCTCTTGCACAGGTATCATTTTTCTTGTTCATTATTTTTGTGGTGTATACCATGCTGCCCTTCAACATGAGGGACGCTATAGTTGCCAGCGTCTTGACCTCTGCATCTCATACGATTGTGCTGAGCGTCTGTCTATCAGGTACAGCTGTTGTAAAGGAACACTTGGTTTGGCAGGTAGGTGCTTTGTGGAATTAATGATTAATTGTGCACTGAATAGCCTGGTAAATGGGCCGGGAGTGCCTCAGTGGGTCCTTGAGAGTATAAATTTATTTCTCACTTAATTTCTGAATTGCTACAGACTTAATTCACAGGTAGTCACTTTCTAATAATGAGGGTGTCAGTAATGTTATGTCTTGCCGAATCGCATGCTTAAGTGGTAGAATCTACAGCCACGTAGTGCTTACCAATGTAAAAACTAACATTGCTTGAAAAATTACGTGATGCAGCCCTATTGTGGGAGATACATTACCAGTCTGGTATGTAAACCACATTGTTCCTCTCCTCACCTCATTAAAGCCTAACTTCCAAGGCCAAGGATTTTTTCCAGCTATCAGTGTTTGACTCAAAAAAGCATTGTTCCTTTGAATACCCTGAGGTCTGCTGGGTTAAAGATCTGTTGTGAAGACATGGCCCTCTCCAAGTCTGCTGTAGGGCTTGTCCTCCTTCTGTAATTCTCAGGCATTTGTAGGAATTTCACAGCCTCCTCCTGGTTGGGCCCCCTGGTTGAAGGGGACTGGCTGGCTCCAGACTCCATGATATTTAGGGAACCCATCTGTGTTTGCAGCTGGGTCTTGGCTTGTAACTCAGTTCTGATACTTTACTACATGACACACTGCAGATTAATAATTTTCAAAAATCCAAATATTTGGAGTTGTTTTTCCTTATTGTTTTGCAGAAGATCTTTTAAATGGTGAAATACTACAGTTTTTGTTGTAGTACTGTGACGATCCCAGCTGTCATTGATAGAAATCTGTATTTTTAAGGAAAAATTTAGACGTCATTTTGAAAAGCAAATACATAGGGTTTTTTTTAATATAATTATGTCATTTTAGGGAAACAGAATTATTTTAACTTTTGCATCAAAATGACACTGAAGCTTAAAAGTAAGTACGTTTTTATAAACATACCAGTAGAACAAGAAAGATAAACGTCATACTATTTATTGTGAATAGCATGAAGAATGAAGCAAATAGTTTCTACTTACCTTTTAAGTTACTTGAGCCTTATTTTGAAAAACATTGTGCCTCAAAAGATAACTTCAAAATTGTAGTGATTTTACAAAAGTCGTGCCTTGTAAGTTGTTGTTCAGGAAAATACATTTTATTTCCAGATATGGCTGCAGATCTGTGTAATATGGAATATGGAAATTGAAATCCCATAAACAAAATATGTTCTAAGATGTAGGTCTCTGTAGAAATTTTAAATGGTGAGATAAGTGGGTTTGCTTTTCTCTTGCTGATTTGGGTTAGTTGCATGTTTTTTGTGGAGGTTGCCAAGTTGTGCTGTATGTTAAGCAAGGACTGTGGTCATCTGCAGTCAATGTAGTATTTTAATAATTCAGTAATACAGTTATTGATAACTGTAGTGGAATAAATCAGGGAGAATGTTATTCTTGGTTTTATGTCAACCTATGGCTTTTATTCTGGGCATAGATAGGCTGCTAAAACAGTATTAGTGTTTGCCACTCCTTCCCTAAAAGCATTTTGGGTTAAAGTTGCTGTTTGCAGAACTTACTTATTTTTCCTGCCTAACTTTCTAGACCACTGACATTTGGTATATCTAAAACAGTACTTTCAGAAGATGTTATATTTTTAGACACATCATGTCTCCAGAATCAAAAGAAATAAATCATGGGCTGTGAGGTACAATTAGTGTCTCATCTCTTCTGTAACTTCCTGTTTCATTCAGAAAGAGTAGAAGTCTTTGAGCAATCTGTAAATTTGTTAAGAGTATTTAACTTCCAGGATGTTATTAATTTTCTGTTCTTTGTAAAGATTGTATTAAATGTTCTGAATATTTTGGCAGTTACCGAAAGTACTGAGTGCACTGCGTTCTTACGAATGTGTGGAAGGCACTAAATGCCACTATCACAGTTCATTTGCCCTCTGTACACTTTTAGATTACTATTGTTTATACTTTGGAGTGTAAGCAAAAAAATCTTTGTTTTGTGTTCTTTGCTTTTGAAAATTGAGACCACAAATAAAAGATTAGATCAGAGATACCGATTACACTAAAAAGAGAAATAACATTTGTCAGTGATAATACCTCAAATTGGTATAGGATAAGTGTGTGTAATTAACAACAACAACAAAAAAGAGCTGGTGTATAGCTGTTTGAAAGGACCATGATGTTGAATTTTTTTTCGGGGGGAAAAAAAGAATAAATTGGTGAGGCCTGGACTGAAGCTGCTTTGCAGAGTTCGGTCACCAAAGCCCAGAGATGAGGAACTACCAGTAGACTGAGATTCAAAAGCTTAGAGAAACACATTCAGGGCTAAGTAGACTAAATCTGGCTTGTGGAGCTACACTTAGCTTTGACAAAAATATATTATTTTGATTTCAGGGCTACTGATTTGTTTCAACAAAATGGAAAAAATACATGACAGTGTTAGCAATGAAGTGTATTTTCTTTCTGACATGGATTTTTTTCTAGAGGACAGGTAGGGAATCAATAGTATGCACTTCAGAAGCAGAAAGACAGTGGTATAACAAATCTACCTGTAGGTAAACATCAGATATTATAGCATATATATCCTGTATATACAGCAAGTATCCATATGTAGAGAGTACCTGCATCTCCTTTATAACTACTTCCTATGTATTGGAAGACTTTGATTAAATCTTCTCTGAGCTTTCTGTTCTCTTGGCTGAACAAACCCCGTTCTTTCAGTCTTTCTTCTTATGTCAAGTCCTCCTGCCTTATAATGCTTTTGGAAGCCCTCTGCTGGACCTTCTCCAATTTTTCAGCATCTTCCAGTGACTCTGGTTGGCATCTCATAGCATTTTGGAAGTTAATCCTACCTTCAGTCTATCCGTAGAGAGAAATCGATGTTCAGAACCATTTGCTTATTTTGAGATTTGGCAGAGCCTATCTTACTGGTTTTGTCATTCCTTTTGTTGTCCTCTGTAAAGTTTTACAGCCAAAACTGGCTTCAGTAAAGCTGAAAGGCTTAGCATGCTCTTGATTATCCAGTGTTGGTTGCAGTCAGAGATACTGAGATAAAAACCTCCTGCTGGGATAAAGAATCCTTCAACACACTCTGCTGGTTACATGAACTAGTTTCTGTTTGACCTAACCGTCAGTGTTAAATTTTTGTTCCTCTTTCCTAGTAGGAATTTGTCTAGCCTTGTCATCCAGCTTCCGGATCTCGTTTTTTGGCCAGTAGACTGACAGACCCAAGAGTACCCAATTTCTGTTTCTCCCATGACGGTACTTCTAGACTATCATGAATTTGCCTCTAACCTTTTTGTCAGTAAAATAAATAAGTTGCCTGCTTTTGCACTAGCTAAGCCTTTCATCACTTTCACAGTTCTTCTTTGAGTCCTTACTTGTGCTTCGTCAACATCTTTCTTGCAACGTGGACATTAGCCTTAGAGGAACGTGCCAGGAGCAGCTGCAGCAGCACCAAATGCTAATAGGTGGCTAGGTCTACAAAGGGGTTAGTGTGCTGTAGGGCTCAGCATGGAGACACAGGCTCTACAGTAAAATACCCGGTTAGTCTCCCCTTGCGGTTCTGTGGGGAGTTTAATGCACAGTTACACAATCTGTGACAGGGAGGAGGAAAGAGAGTCCTGTGTTCCGGTCTCAGTTTATGAAAAAGTAACTGTGTATGTATGGATATTTTTTTTTTTCTGTTGAAAATGTTAATCCTAACCCTTACAAGGCACACGGTCTGGAATCCGGGACTCTGCCCCCTCTTCCCAGGTGAGCATCCTACTGCCAAGCAGGCGATGTCGTTCTGTCTGCTCCTGGGAGCCTGGTGGTTAGGACTGCTGCAAGAGAACATGACGCTAATTATGGCGTTAAGGCATTTGGCTCAGAAGACTTTCGCGACTTAATATCCCTTTCAGTTATTGCTGGAATGGAAAGTATTTCACTGCCATCCCTCGCTATAAACACATAACGTGCTTCTCCCCAAACCAGAACAGATTCTAATCAAATACTTGTGTTTTTCCTGCTCTATTATCAACTGCTCAACCATTCTGATCTCATAATGGGTTGATACTATCGTTAGAGGTCATTTTGTTCTTAATTTGTTAAAAAAGAGCTAACCAAAATAATTAAACATCCTATAAGCTTCCATTTTTCTTTTTCCCCATGTTATATATATGAGGAGTGCGATTTTTTTATTTTAGTCTTTTAAAAAAGTATTGTTGATTTACTCTCTCAACAAGCAATTTTGTTGCTCGTGTAATCTTTTTTCATTAGCTGTGGCTAACTGTTTTCCAAATCTTGGCTAAATCACTACAAACTGTCATTCATGTTTTTTGTTTTGTTTTTTTTTATTTAAACTAGTGTTCCTTACCTTTTGGGATTTTTTTGGCAGCTCCTTGCAGCACTCTAAAAGGGGTCCCTTTTAGAGGCACAAAACTGTAACTGGGCAGCATGCATGTGTACAGTTTTTTATTTTATTTTTGGACTCCGTTCAAGAGCGCATATAGCAAAAAGAAACAATTTGTAACAACTTTTATGTAGTGTTTGGTCTTTGCTTGTGTGGTCAGTTCCTTTCTGGTAGCCTGGTATAAATAGATGGATAATGTTCTGTCCTGGTGGACAAAAACAAATGCTAAATTAAAACTTTGTTTTTTTCAAGAATGACTGAATTGGGAAATTCCAAGGGTACATCCACAAGATCTCGTGCATTTACCATCAGCTAGGCTGAGGTCTCTTATTACAATAAGAATTTTATTTTATGTGCTATGGACAGCTAAAGATGAAGCTGCTACCTTATTCTTATGTGACCTGCTGGTGTTTATGCACTAACTGGTGTTAGTGTACATCCAGATTATGGTTTCTGCTTGACTTCTGATTCATAAGCTTTTGGTATAATTTGTTTCAAGATCTGTAGTGACTAAGAAATTGGCAATTTTTTTTTTTTTTAATAAAGCCATCTTCCCTTTTTCAACACACTGTTGTTTGTTTTTTCCTGAATAGGCCATAGCTGCTGATTTTTA